CTGCACTCCCCACTCTGATTGATCAGCTGCAGAGCTCAGTGTTCTGAGGTTAAAAAATCCAACAGTTACAGGGGATTGCAGAGAGCTAATGACAGTTGAGGAAACCAGGAGTGGCCAACAACCACCTGTGAGGTAAAGCAAAGCTGCTGCCCCTGCCTCTCTGATGGCTTCCAACACACTCCTCCCACCTCCTACACCTAACAAGCGGTTGTCTGTCAGGTGCAGCCCCACCTCCACAGTGGTTTCTAATACTCCTCCCCCCTCCCCCTCCTACACTGGACAGGCAACTGCCTGTCAGGTGTAGGAGGAGGGTGGGATGGCTTCCAACACACTCCCACCACCTCCTACACCTAACAGGCGGTTGTCTGTCAGGTGCAGCCCCACCTCCACAGAGGCTTCTAATACTCCTCCCCCTCCCCCTCCTACCCTGGACAGGCAGCTGCCTGTCAGGTGTAGGAGAGGAGGTGGGATGGCTTCCAACACACACCCCACCTCCTACACCTAACAGACGGTTGTCTGTCAGGTACAGTAGTGGTTGCAGGGTGCTTAAAGCCACGAGGGAGCCCACCCCAGCCGTAACGCCTTACTGATCCTGCCAGCCCCGCCTCCACAGAGGTTTCTAATACTCCTCCCCCTCCTACACTGGACAGGCAGCTGCCTGTCAAGTGTAGGAGAGGAGGTGGGATGCTTACGGCCACCGGGGAGGTTTGCTCAGCAGGATTGCCTTAGCACTGCTGCTGGCCCAACCTCCCCGATACCTTTAAATACAATCCCCCCCAACATCAGACAGGCCGGTTTCTATCAGGTGTAGGAGCAGGGCCAGGTATAGTAAAGGACATTTCTAGGAGTCATTTCAATGCGTGCCTCCCTCATGAACCTGAAGAAATGTCCACCACATCACCACTCCCTCACACCAACTCCCCCTCACACCTCTCACCTCATACTGCCCCCAAGAAAGCTGCTGGCAAACATCGAGATACACCGCTACAAGGAGGAGGCAACTTAGGAATTCAGCAAAGATATTTGCACATAGTACCTCTGCAGTGCACTGAGCTGCACAGACCAAGTACCAGCAAGATCGCCCTGAGGTGCTCAGAACAACACAGTCTCCATAGGAGCAAAACAATCCAGGAACACAAGTCGAGAGGCCATCACTTTTGTGGAAGTTGACTTAACAGATTACTTCTTCTTAAATGGACAGTTCTATGTGGCCTGCTCCAGAGTGAGTTCATCAAGCAGCCCAGTGATCCTAGCACCTGAGGGAAGAACCACCAATGTAGTCTAGAGAGAGGTCCTTCAGTAGAGAAAAAAAAGTACGTATGTCTCACTTTATTTCTTACACTACAATCTTCTCCGTTAGAATTCCTACAACAAATGTCACATTTCAAACTTCACATAATCAGTATTATAACTGGATTTACGGAACATAAATACTGTAGTGAAGCACGGGTAGCAGGCTAGTAATGAATAATTATCCAGTTTTTATTCTAGTATATCATGCGACAGAGGTCACTGTTATTTAAACTCCTTCATCAGTCTTCCCAGTTCACCATGCGTGGATGAAATATTTTACTAGTAAATATTTCACTTAACTAGAAAAGTGAGATTTACAGTGCAATCCTATGCAAAATTACTCCAGAGCAAATGGCTTAGGCTAGAGTAACTCTGCATAGAATTGCAACTTTAAAGAATTTAAAGCAATTCAGGAAATCTAGTCACCTCTAAGAAACATCTGACACCTCAGATTTGTATGACTGGTCTGAACTGAAACATTCTTCTATTGGTGGTCAGGGTTGCACAGGTAGAATGGGGACAGGGATGAGAGAATATATAGATGGTTTCTGCATTGCAGCAGCAGATTGAACTTGATGGACCTTTGGCTGAGTCTCTTATTATTCTGCTAAATAAACACAGGACCTGCTCTTGATTGACCTAGTTGTGATCCACTGTGCTTTTTACATAATTTGGACACTCAGGCAGTACTATGGACTATGAATTAGTGTACATAAAAATATTTACTTAACAAGGTAATACGTATGTAAAACTGCTGACTTAAGGAATACTAGTCCACCTCCTGGCATGTGAGAATTTATTTATTTTTTATTTATTTATTTAACCTTCGATATAGAATACATGGCAAAACTGCTTGCATCAACTTATACTGGTGTTGTTAACATATACTGCTTGGAAGTATAGGCCACTGAAATTAACATTCAAATAAATACACTTAGGAGCATGTTACCACCAGATGAAGTTCAACTTAATTTGGGATAACTGTGCCCTGAGTAACTGATTTCTTTTTACTGGCCATCAAGTCACAGCTGACTTATGGCAACCCCGAAGGGTTTTCAAGGCAAGTGACCTTCAGTGGTTTGCCACTGCCTGCCTCTGTGTCCTGAGGACCCTGGTCTTCCTTGGTGGTCTCCCATCCAACTACTAAACCAGGGCTGACTCTGCTTAGTTTCCAAGATCTGACAAGACTGGGCTATCCCAGGCTATAATAACATTATGAAATAAATACTGCACAACTATAGAGGAGGAGACATTACTCAAATTCTCTTTCAACTCTTTAACAGAGGAAATTACATGGGATGAAGAGGACCGTATATAATGGATAACATATATTTATTTACTTCATTTATTCCTCACTTTCCTCCCCAGGGGGGGGTTACAATACCTTTCCCTTCTTCGTTTCATCTTCACAACAATCATGAGTAGGTTAGGCTGAGAGCATAAGATTTGCGCACGATCACCCAGTAAGCTTCCACGGTAGAGTGGGGATTCAAACCTGGGTCTCCCAGATCCTAGTCCAACACTCTAATGATGATACCATACATATACACACTATATATATACTATATATATACTATACACACAAACACACACACACACACTGTGTGCATTTCTGTAACATACACATATCAAGCTCAGAAAGGCAGACTGTGAGTGTACTTCTCATGCAGTTTTCTTTTTCATAAGTAGGAAAAGGACAGTACAGATTATCTTTAGTGGTACACCAAGAGAAAATGTTATCATATTTCAACAGCAAAGCTACAAGGAGTATTACTGCATAAGCCTTTTGGCCCTTTCTTGTCAAACTGGTTATTATTTCACTCTGACTAAGGCTGCAATCCTGTTCTCCGCACTGAATAAAATGGGATTTTAAAAACATAAACAGAAAGGAAGGTTAAGAAAGCTAATTGGATTGTCCAGCTAGTTAATAAAAGGAACTGCAACAAGTTCTGTGGCTTTATTCCCAAAGGGGGAAAAAATCACTGCAAGAGGGAAAGATAAACTTCATGCAGAGTGCAGACTAAAGAAAGAGTAACCAGTGAGCTTGGAATCAATTATACTAGGTGTCAGCACTTTTATATATACTGTCATTAAGATGCCATTTCCATATCTCTTGTAAAATCATTAGATGACATTCCCTTTCACCCTAAGCAGAACTGCATGCTCACTGACTTCAGTAGATTTAGAAGGATCTGACTTTGCTTAGGATGCATTTATCTGCCAAGCTGTATAACAAAATCCAACAAACTAAGTCCTTGGTTATTCATTTCCATTATATGCTGGGGGCATTTGGAACTCTGATCTGTGTCACATTAAAGTATCAGGAAATAACCTTATTTTTTTCCTATCAGAAAATAGCCTAATACAATTCTTATACCATAGATTTATTAGATATTGTAATTCTGCATGTAAGAGGATCTGGGAGGGAAAGGGTTAAGAGAATTCTCTCACTCAGGTACACTTGGCAGTTGGCCCCACACTCTCATGGGTTTGATGTTGAGTCTCTCTGTCTGCTGAATATGTTATGTAAGATGTGCTTCTATTTTTTGTAAGTAAAATTCCTTTCTCTTTTTACCATTGTAGTCACACCATCTTTGTAATTTGTTTGAACAGCATTTTCCCTTAACTGGGAAATGTCGAGGACAGGAGATAATGCATACAACTTCTGTGCTCCCAAGGCAAATTTATATACACACACACACATTAAACCCAATAACATGAACAGCCAACATGCCAGTAGTTACAACTGGGCTCAATACAACAGGTTTGTATACAGGTGCCCCTTCCTCCCACAATTCAACCAGATTCATTCAAGTAGGACTCATTCATAAAAGAGAAGGTTCATATATGTTAGAAACAAAATATAATGTTCTCTACTTCGTCAGACAACAAGGAAAGTAATGGACGGCATTTACAACTAGATGTCCAAAACTGTCCTATAGCTTTAAAGCAAGACAGGTAAGAATGTCTCACTACATAGATTGCAATTACTTCATAACGTGCAGAGGATTTGCGTAAAGTTTGAAAGGAATACCGACCCTTTAGATCTTTCTTTAAGAGAGGCTCTTGTGTTTTGACAACCACTCACTCTATCCCAAGCACAAGATTAAAATATCTGACTATTTCACCTACTGGGTAAAAACCAGTAAGTACCTTCCAGAAATGACAACAATCAGTCTCAGCCCATACACCCCTCCCCCCCGCTCCCCATTTCTGGGACACAAACCCAACTTGCCCTAGTTTGTTCACTTTATAAAGCATCCATTCATCACACTTCATCCAGCCTCCTCCTCCCGAGTTCTTTGTCAACTACAAGGCTGCCTCTGTGTTTGGTACCTTCCCTATTGCCCTCATTCAGAACATGAAACTACACACACTCGCAAAACTCTTTCTCCCCGAACCGGGAACTTACACTTTCCCTTTCAAAATTCGAAAAATCTGTTGCTCCGTGGGGCTCACAATGCCCTCTGTGACGTTCCTGACGCCCTTTCATCAGCGCCCCTCACCTCCAGGTGCCTTTCGCGCGTCATTCTCTAGCACGCCCCCATTCCCCCCGAAACGCCTCATCTTCATACGGTTACACGCAACACTTTTCATACGACTCCGAGCCACCAGCGGCGTCAGCGCGACTAATACCGCTCCTTCCCAGCCTGCCGCCCCTTGCGCTCCCTTTTCCCGCCAGAGCGCGGACGCACGCCCCTCCCTACCTCGGTGACGATGGTGGAGAGGTAGGGGTCGCGGCTGTACTCCCAGCCATCCAGGCATTTCTCCTGCTCCACCTGGCTGAGGTTGACGTCGCGGCCAGGCTGGAGGTTCAGGGCGGAGAAGTTGACCAGGGCCTCGAGGCGGTAGCGGCGGCACCGGCTGGGCACCTGCAGCCCGTCTCGCTTTTCGAGAGGGATGCTGACATTCAGCCACTCACTGCTTAAGTTGGCGCTGGCAGGCACCCGGCACCAGTGCTCGGGGGTGTCGATGAGGAAAACGGCGGAGAGCCCATTGAAGCCATTGGGGATGATGCTGGCGCTGAGCAGGAAGAAGATGAGGCGCTGGAAGGGGCCCCACTCGCCCAGGAAGGCGGTCATCTGGTCATAATCGTACATAGTGGGGGGGCGCCGCGCAAGCAGGAGGCAAGTGCCGCGAAGACTGGAGCGCGGGCCCAGCCGGCTGGTCGCTGGAGTGAATGAGTGACTGAGGAGCGGCCGGCACTGCTACTCCATGCGGCGGCCTCTTCTGGCCGTACTGCTGCAGCAGCAGCAGCAGCTGCCTTAGCTACGAGCAAAAACACAGTCCCGGTCGGCCAGCCGCAAGCGCTTCCCATGGGCCGGCTGAGGGGATAGTGGGTGTGGTTTTGTACACAAAGGCCTAGACCTAAAGCCGCGACTGGCTCAACGCCGCAAGTCGGGCCGTCGTCTGCACGTTGGAGAGGCAAGAGGATGAAGAGCGTTGCCAAAGTGGGCGTTTTCTTTCCAGGACGGAGTTCTTGTCGCTCCTACTGGGGAACTCTAAATTGAGGATGAGCAACAGGGTCTGCCAGAGCTCCGTGTGCCGGTGGTGGCCAAAGCACATGACTGAATATTTGGGAGAACTACTTCAAAAATTGGGCATATCTTGTATTTAAAGCAAATCTCCTCCTCCAGTCTGGTGGTGTGGTTAGGAGTGCAGACTCTGATCTGGGAGAACCGGATTTGATTCCGTATCCTCACTCCTTCATATGCAGCTGTTGGTGTGTTCTTGGGTCAGTCATGGCTCTCTCACAGCTGTTCTCTCACAGAGCAGTCTTGGAAACAGCTCTCTCAGCCCAGGCCCATAGCCAGAATTTTGTGGCTTGTGGGGCAAAAATTTTCTTGGGAAGCTGCCATTATTTTTCTGTCTCTAAACAACTGTACTTTTAAGTAATAATGAAGACAATAATACTAATTATTAAATGCAGCACAAACACCCCAGACAAAATGAAATGCAAAAACACCTCCACCCCCTCTCTGAAGCAGTTTCAGCCTCCCAGTCTGCCCCAGAGTGAAACTGTATGAGTTACCAGTGTCTACCACATTTTAACCGAGTTGTGCATTACAACAAAGCCAATACCGAAACCTTACAAAGAAGAAGAGGAGACTTACGATTTTCATTAGGAAATCTTGTGGGGCTGGCCCTTTAAGGAAGGGGGTGGAGGCCCCAATAGCCCCACTAGCTACTGGCCAGTCTCAGCCCTACCTACCTCACAGGGTGTCTCTTGTGGGGAAAGGAAGGGTAAGGAGATTGTAAGCCACTCTGAGACGCGGGGGTTGTCACAGCTCAGGTGGGGTGTCACCTGACGCTGCCACCACTCTGATTCCAGGCTCCTCTGAGAAGGCCCAGAGCACCCTCCCAGGCCTTTAGACCTCCCTTTTGGCCAAGTAGTAGGTGTGAGGACCAGGCAGAGTGAACAATGAAAATAGTTTATTTTATAGGAGGTCAAACAAACAAGGTGCAGAATAAGAACAGTAAGTGGGTGAAAAGAAAAGAAATCAAATGCCCTAACGCGTCTAAATATATACTGTCCCTAGCTCACTATCAAGTGGCCTTAGACTACTCACCCTCCCTTCAGGATGAGGGTTTCTTCCCACAGTAGCCTTCCTTCTTGCTCTGCCCTCTGGGAAGAAGAACAAACGAGTTCTCTTATTCCGTCCCTCTTCTTCCCTATTGGTCAAAATTGGTGCCAAAACTTCCCTTCTGGGGTTTGTAGGCCCAGTCTTCCTTACTGCTAGCCAGGCTCCCTGGGCCTGCTAGGCCCTGCTTGCACAGCCCAGATCATGACAGGGCTATAAATCCAGTCTCCTCTGTCAGGTTTCGGTATTGGCTTTGTTGTAATGCACAACTCGGTTTAAATGTGGTAGACACTGGTAACTCATACAGTTTCACTCTGGGGCAGACTGGGAGGCTGAAACAGCTCAGGAAAAGGGCCACTCCCTATGGATAGCTGCAGGGCCAGCTGAAAGGTGCAGCAGTGCTCCTCACTGGTGGCAACTACAACATACCTGGGTTGCAAGGATCAATTTGGGTGCTGCATTACCTGTGGTCCCCCTTGGAGGCCAAGCTATGCTCCACCATGCCCATGCTGTTCCTCATCAGGATGAAGTTGGGCCCCACGAGGCCTGTTCTTGTTGGCCACAGGTTGACACAGAGTGACGCTGGGTGATGCCATGCTCCTTGCTGGCCACACAACTCCTGGGCTGGCATGGCATAATCACCTGCCTCTGTGCTCCTCCTTGCTAGCCTCACCAGGCTGGTGGGTGGGGCTCAGGGTAGTGGCCCCCAACTGATTTTTTTTCATAGTAAAGTAAATGGCTGATCCACCCCAGGACACTTAAAAAGTGGTATTTATTCCCCCATGTCTAGGGCTGTAGAGCATCCAGCTGAACAGATTTTTAAAAATTGCTTTATAAAAACTTAGTAAACCCAGCTGTAAGAGTATTTATCTTACCCCCTAGGCAAACAAAAAACTATAGTGGTTAGCATGACCAAGTGGGTTCAGACTGATCTGCCTGATCTGCCATGAAGCTCACTACATGATCTTAGGCTTGTCCTTTTTTCTCTCAGCTTACTCTACCTCACAGGGGTTATTTATTTACTTCCTTAATTTATATCCTGCCCTCCCTGCCAAGGCAGGCTCAGGGCGGCTTTCATAGAGATAATTGAACAAATAAAACAGAAAATTGAATAAAATCACAATAAATAAATAAAAACATTACGTAAAGTGCTAGTGTGAATTGTGTAGGAATGGCGGGTATTGGCAGCATCCAACCTAAGCATACAGTCAGCTGACATTGTAGTCTGGGTCATATGGGTGCAGCACAGGCTGTTGGTGGGGGTGTTAATGTTGTGGCTAGGGCCTCAGTTTATTGGGTGTGGCTCACTAATTGAAGGCTTGGTGGAAGAGCCTTAAAACAAAACCCTGAGCTCTTAGAGAGGGGGAGTTAGAATTTTCTAGATAAGACAGAAAAGGGATTTATAACCACATTGTGCAAAAGCTCATACAGCCTTCTAGCAATATATATGAAACACATGGAACATTCTAAAGTATTATGTTAATTTGGTATTCTTATTGGGATGATTCTCACATGGGCGTGAGATACTCTGTTCAAATTCCTGACAAGTCTTTTAATCTAAGATAAAAGTCTAAAACAGGGCAACCGAGATTAAGGGACTGGAGCAACTTTCATATGAGGAAATACTGAAGAGTCTGGGAGTTTTTAGTTTAGAAAATAGGTCACTAATGGGAGGCATGACAGAGGTTTATAAAATTATGCAGGGGACGGAGGTCGTGCAAAAGCTGATAGCAGTTTTACACACCACTGTGATTCCTGGAGTCATAGATAGTCCTATTAAGTGTTTTGAGCTCTTGTGCTTTTCATGTTCTGCTGTGTCAACGTTTATTTTTAAAATAATTAAAGTTGTTATCCGGCTCCATATTTTTTTTTCTGAAGTGCCTTATTAAAGGAGAAAGACTGAGTTTACATGAACAAAGGGAAACACCATCAGTTCTGTGGGAGTAAATGCTTGTCTCCTGGGCTGTTTGCCTCTGTTATGCATAGAGGAGTGCATTGCCTATTTCTTGACCCAGCCGTTATGTGGGGAGGTCCTGTAGTTCTGCTCTGCTCCTTAAAACAATCAGGTTCTCTTTAATGGACGGAGGTGCTCCAGGCAGGGTTGCATTAGTTGTTATAACAGTTAAGCCACTACCTATTCCAAGGGCCTGGTAGAGTGTACTTTTCTCATTTTTTAATTTTGTGTTTCTGATCTAACCTGTGAATTTGCCAATATAGTTATATCCTTTTAGCACCATATTCCCTTATGGTCTAATCTGTCTACTTATTCTGTCATGTATTTGCAAAATAAAATCATATGCTCTCAGAGTCTCCTCTAATAGGCTAAACATAAAGATGAAGTATTTAATTACATGCTGATCACTTTGAAAAAGATCGATCGAGTAAAATTGATTCCAGAAACTCTTCTTGTTGTAGCCAAATTAAGGATCTTGACAGAATCTTGTAAGAACAAGTACTACAAAGGATATGCTTCCTCTGCTCTGAGGCTAGTTCCATTTAAATGCAATTCATGTAATGATCATTATGCAACAGATAATTATTTCAGCAATGCATTGTTAAGGTTTATTTAGACTATCTTTAAATGCTAGAAAGTATCACATGACAGTTCCATAATTGGCAGTGTTTGCAAGACCCTCCCCCAAGGACAATGCAGTTATGCAAGTGTGGCTGCATCTGGCTGTTACCTCTATCTGAAACAAATTATATCAAAGTAAAGTCTAATAAATTCAGTATGACTTGATCCTGCAGAGTGTACTTTGGATTAGGTCATAAGTGTGCTTAAGGTCATGCAGAAATTCATTTTATGAGCAAGAGACAGAGGCTTCCACAAAGCAAACATCAAATAAACGTTAGAACACTGCATACCTGAACATACATCTTGTCAAGGTGTTTCTTTTACAGTAACTAGGCCAAAGGTGAAGCAGCACAACTTACTAGGGCTTGAACATAGCATGATTAAAATTTAGTACTACTCATCAGATGAAAAAACCCTATGCTGTAGTGCCTTTGCATGCCAAACTACCAATTTAAAGTGGGTATGTATGTGTTAATTTTTATTCTCTCCCCCCCCCCACAACAGTAGCTGTATCTAAGATTTTTCAGGGATCCAGCTACTCCAGCATGCTGACAAAGGTATGAAGTTGAATTATTATTTTTAAAAAATGTATCCTGCTTTTTAATATAAAATGCACAAAGGGGTACAAATGCACACTAAAAAAACCCAGAAATAGATTAAAATAATAAAGGCCCATAAAATCATAAAACAGATTAATCCCCTAGATAGAACATTTAACAGAGTCAACTACTACTGGAGGCCTTTGGAATTAAATAGTCCTAAAAGCTCTTTTTGAGGAGATAGACATACCTCCTGGGGAGGGGAATTCCATAGTCTACGGGGGCACTTGTGAAGGCCCTTGTTTGGGTCTCTACAAAATCAAGTCTCTGTGAGACTATGTTCCCATAGCAAGGCCTCCCTGAACAGTCTTTAAGGCTTTGGCTGATTTGGACAGATGGAGGTGGCAGGGCCATACCCAGAAAGTTTTGATCAAGGTGCATATTTTTTGTTAATGGGGCACCTTAGCAGAGTGGAGAGATAAGCTATTATATATACAGTGGATAGTGGAATAGGCCTTAAGTATTGCTATA